AACAAGGAGAAGGTGCAGAAAGAGGTGAAAGCTGCACTATCGGAAAACGCCACGCTGAGCTGCGAGGTGGCCCAGGAGAAGACCGATGTGAAATGGTACAAGGAGGGGAAAGTGATCACCTCGAGCAAGAAGTTCAAGGTGGAGTCGGAGGGCAAATCGCGTCGTCTGGTGGTGGGTCAGGGGGAGAAGAGAGGTGCTGGGGAGGACACCTGCGAGGTTGCTGGCCAGAAACTGACCTTCAAGATTGATGTCACAGGTGAGAGAAGATTCTTTGGCCCAGTCTTCCTTTTTCTAGATTATTTAGAAAAATGAGTATTATTTCATAAATTTTTTCCTGTTATGCTTCAAATTTTTGGAGAACATCATTGAGATGGTCTCGCTCTGATTGAGGAGTGGGACAGAGTTACAAATACAGTTCTCTTTATAACTTCTATGTAAAACTCTATAAAATCCTTAACACAGGGAGCTCCATCCTTGAAAAACTTTGGAGCTACCCATCACTGTAGGAACAGGGCCATGAAAAAGAAAGTACTGATTGCACATCTTCATTCCCTCGTGTTGGTACAACAAGAACAATTCTGCAACGCGTCTGATTCTCAGCACATTTCAGAGAAGGGTCATGGTGGAGAGCAGTTGTGTGTCTGCTTGATGTCTGCACTCTGTCTTGGAAGAGCTCATTTCAGCCTGGGGGTTGAATATGACCGTAAGGCTTGCTATATGTTAAGGTCTCTAAGGCACCATGTAAGTGGCAACTAGGGAAAGAAAGTGTCATGGGGACTAATTTCAGATGCATCGCCCTACTGGGGCTGTAGAGTAGGAGAATGGATTCAACTTTCCAACTCACTCCCTGCCTCCTGATTCTCTTGCAAGTGGGCTGACCAATGCGTCAACCGGAGAACAAGGGGATTTCACCATTTGGATGTAAGAATGTGAGGTGGGCTGGGCTTTTCTCAAGGTTGCATGGGAAGTAATAATACAGTTCTGAACATGTAAGTCCTGGTCTTAGCATCCTTTGCACTGAAGAAAGTTATCTAGTGCCAATAGGACAGTAACGACAGCAGACACAGCTATTGGGAACAAAAGGAATCAATGATATGGGGCTGTGACACAGAAAGGGACAGTTCCTCCCAGTAAGAATTCATTACTTTTCACTCAACTTCAACCAAAATGTATCTTGCCTTGACTGGGGCCTGCCATACAATGCTCTTATAAATGGTCCAGATGATCTCCTAGCTTGCTGCCATAAATATACTAATCTTAGAGTGATTTGTGACAAAGCAACAAAAAGCTTCTTTAAAACAAAACAACAAACCAACCCAAAACAAAACACAAAAAAACTCACCACAAAGCAGTCTGCACGGTCTTCTAAGCTGTAGGTATGTGTACTGTCAAGTCAGAGACTTGGTTTCCAGTGTTACCTGTAAGCCGCGATAAGGGGATCGCGCAACATCATATCTTGGAGACACTCTGAAATTCTCTCTCTCTTCAGAGCCAGAAGTTGTGTTTACAAACAAGGAGAAGGTGCAGAAAGAGGTGAAAGCTGCACTCTCAGAAAACGCCACGCTGAGCTGCGAGGTGGCCCAGGAGAAGACCGATGTGAAATGGTACAAGGAGGGGAAAGTGATCACCTCGAGCAAGAAGTTCAAGGTGGAGTCGGAGGGCAAATCGCGTCGTCTGGTGGTGGGTCAGGTGGAGAAGAGAGATGCTGGGGAGTACACCTGCGAGGCTGCTGGCCAGAAACTGACCTTCAAGCTTGTCATCACAGGTGAGACACATCTTGTCTGAATTACAGTAGAGGATAATAAAGTAATACCTGTAATAACTCTTACACAATGACTCAGTTGCAATAGTCTGGGCTTTGTTGCACCCTGTAGGGTTCACCTGATTTTCTGTACCTGATTGCCTGGACTTGTAGAAATGGGAATATTTGGCTCTAGCACGGTACAAAGACCTATCTCATTCTTAGTCTGTCTATATAATAATTGCAGATATAAATATAATAGAAATAATTATCAACATATTATTCACATCTTTCCCTTTTCTGGGATCCCAAAGGTTGATTCTTGTGCACTGAATCTTGTGCATCTTTCCTCTTGAAAGGAAAGAGCCATTCAAAAATCTATTTCTTGTTAGACTCACAATCCTATTTTTGAAAACTGAGAGGCTGGAATATGCTTTGTCATTTGCAATTTCGGCAGCAGCACTCATCGAAATGGGTTGAAAACTCGGCACTTTTTCTGAATTTGTGCTGTTGTGTGTTTGAGATCTCAGCCTTCTGAGATGCCTTACTACTCCTGCCAGGTGCTAAATGTACCTTTGTCGTGAAAGATTCCCAGCAATTGGTCTTTTGGAACAGGACTCACAAGGTGCCCAAACAGCTTTAAGCATGGGATGCTAAAGGGAGTGTTGACGTTGGTACCCAATCTTGGGTACCTTGCCAGCCTTGATCCTGGCATATCTGAGCACTATAGGCCAATCATATTTCCTTTGTCCCTTTGAAAGTCACGCTTGTGACAGTGGAAGACACCATGAAGAGTCTGTTCCAGAAGCCCATAGTGCTCTATTTGTGACCTTGACATTTCACTGTAGGTCTTAACTAAAATGAATTGGTGAGATTTTGGTGATATGCAGGACAAGATGTTCTTTGGGAGCATTTGAATTAAATGTTTTTTGCACGGTGGCTTGCAACCATAGGATTGATGTCGAGGACTCTCTTGGTCCTCTCCATTCTTAGGCTTTTGCTTCCCTAGTTTCCACATTGCAATTCGGTCACACAGAAGGTTGGGTATTGCCCAGTGAAGACAATCAGTTTTGGCAAGTGGTAACCTAAATATTTTCCAAGTGTCTGCACAGAATCTGTAAGACTGATCTCATTTTAATCCCTCAATCAATATTTTCTTCTTTTTCTGCATTTAGAGCCAAAACCTGCATTTATAAACCAGGAAAACGTCCAGAAGGAGGTGAATGCTGTCCTGACAGAAAGTGCCACCCTCAGCTGTGAGGTAGCACAGGACGCAACCGAAGTGAAATGGTTCAAGGATGGAAGACTGCTCATTTCCTCTAGAAAATTCAGAACAGAAACTGTGGGCAAAACCCGGCGCCTGGTTATAGAGCAGCTGGAGAAGAAAGATGCTGGAGAATACATCTGTGAGGCTGCAGGCCAGAAACTGACCTTCAAGTTGGAAGCAGCTGGTGAGGACTCACCTAAGCAGCTCTCTGTGTGGCTTAGAGGAAAATGGGATATTCCCTACCCAGTGGCCATGGTGCAGCCACCAGTTTCTCTGGAGCAGCATCGGTCCACCACATCACACATTAATTTGACCTTTTTAATCTAGCAGTGTGGAGGTGGGAAATCTGGCTGAAGACTTTTTTTTTTGGCTTTGGAAATGCCATATATTTTTTTTGCTTAGTGTCTCCTTCGCACACCCCGTCGCCCAACCTTTTTAAGTGGTGGGGAGCTGAAAGTAGAAGTTGGAAAGTTTTGAAGAGAAGAAATAGAGCTATGGAGAAAGGTGACTAAGAAAAGGTGGTCTGCTGCTGTGTGTGCCCCAAAACTGCCCACTTTTGTGGCAAGGCATTGTACAAGATAGAGAAGAAGCCAAGAGAAAGGGAATAGAGCAGGCAGAAAAGAAAATAGGCCATAAATTCAGGTTTAGCATACTAATATTTCTTCTTAATTAGATCTAAAATCCTAAAAATGGGAGAGGAAATAATTATACAGGTCATTTTACTTCTAAGAAACAAGCTTTTTGTAGGCAGCAGATAAAATATATATTTGCATTTCCTTTCCTTTGCTTCTCTTCTAAGCAGAAGCTCTGGGTTGCCCGACAGATCATTTTCTTTCTTCCCACTCAGCAAAAGATTACACCAGCCACAAATATTCAGCCATATTCCCTGGGTTATTACAGATTATGGATGAGCTGGTGTTGTGAGTCATGAAGAGAGAGTAATAGAAAATTGCTGTGTTAAGGATTTGAGATTTACGTTATTAGCTTTCCTATTTTAATGTCTTTCCTAGAACCAGAGGCTAAATTTGAAAATAAAGTTGTCCAGAAAGAACCTCTCATTGTTCAAGAACATGAAAGCATCACACTGACTACTTCAGTAACGCTTGAAACTGCTGCAGTAAAGTGGTTCAAGGATGGAACAGAAATCAAGGCGAGCAAGAAATATGAGATCAAGAGTGAGGGGGCGTCCAGGACCCTGACGGTGAACCTGGCTGAGAGCAAAGACACTGCCGTGTACACTTGCCAAACAAAGAGTGACAAGCAGGAATTCAAAGTACAGGTGAAAGGTGAGCAGAGAGCAGCACACAGGTCGTGTCCCACCCCACTAGCTATGCTTCCCTCATAGTAGGATGGAGGTGAAGTCCAAACTCTCTCTAAAACCGTTCCAACCTCAAGGCTTGAATTGCTCTTGCAGCTGCTGTGGCTGCCCCACCACGGGCCAGCAAAGTTCTCCTGCTTCCAAATACCCAATTTTTGTCCTTTGCTGGCCACTCAGGGGAACAAGGAGGCCTACGACGGGTGCTTTTCCTGGTGTCTGCTCCCCACTGTCATCATGCTGTTTCTGTCTCCTAACCCCAGTAGCTGGGGCATGGCAGAGCCTTAGCTCTTCCCCACTCGGCTCACCAGCATGACGAAGCTGATGAGGATATAGAGGGATGTTGTGTGAGGAGAAGATTTGTGAGTTAGTCACATGGGGAAACAGGACCTGAATTGTATCCTCCTCTGTTCCCGGATGGTGTACCTGGGATGCTGTTCCCTAGTCAAGGCTAAGGCTATAAATTCACAAGAAGGATGAAATATAGCTGGTCCACAGATGGAGATGAGAGGGGTGATGTCCCAGAGCAAAGGCCTGCTCCTTTCTCTTCAGACACTCACACTGGAGATGTCTGCAGCTGAGATGCATCCCCTCAGCTCCCTTTGGAGTTATTGCAGAGGAGTGGTTGCTAATAGGTCATGATACATCCGACCTGTTGAAATGTCTCCTTCAGGATGAAAGAAATCACACCCTGGATTTCTCTGACTCCGTTGGCTGCATCTCCAGTGACGGCAGAGACAAAGGTGGCTGGAGCTTGTGCATCCATATGGATTTTTACATTTAGTCAGGCAAATCAGGCTCTGATGTAAAAACACCACATGGTCTCATTGGGTACGAAATTAGAAAGGAAGGAAGGCAAAACCCAATCCTGTTTAAAAGCACTGTTCTTGCTTTACAGAATGATAATGATATTAAAATTCCACGTCAAAGGAATCTCCCTAAATTTCCACCTTTCTGGTTTGTTTCTGTCTACCCTGATCCCCAAATCTGTTGGGTGTTGGGTTTTGGGGTTTTTTTTATCTCTTTTAAAGTTGGCCAGAAATGGTTTCTTAGAACAGGTTTCTTATCTTTTCCTTTTTCATCATTTTTTCCTTCTTCTGCATCTCAGAAATCCCAGTGAAGTTTGTCAAAAAACTTGAAGCTGTTAATGCTGAGATTGGAGGTAGCGTCTCTTTGACCTGTGACGTGAGCCATGCTAAAGGGAAGGTGGTGTGGCGCAGGAACGGAGTTCAGATCAAGCCCAGCAAGCGTTTCCAGATTCGTGAGGAAGGGGTCAAGCGAACACTGACAATAACGGGGATCCGGGCTGAGGATGAGGGAGAGTACTCCTGCGAGTCCAGAGATGACAAGAGCAGCATTACCATCACCCCCAAAGGTATGTCTCTAGAACTGCATGGTGACAATGTGGAGAGATCCTTGGGTTTTGTCCTCAGCCATTACAACTCTGCAAAGTTGAGTTTGTTCATGTGTTTGTGCTGTCTCCTGTGTTGACAGCAAAATACAAAACTCCGCTTCCTCTCTCAGCGTCAGTGGAACATCTTTGTGAAGAACATAATGATTTTGAGACCTGCTGAGCTCAGGTCTCTTAATATGTGGGCAAATTGACCTTCATATTGCATTTGAGGCTGGAATTAAGTATCCCAAATCTAAGATGGGACTTTTTTTTCCCCCTCTTTGCCCCTCTCTTCTGGCATCTTTATACGCCAAACTTAGACATGGGAAATGTGATGACCCATTATTGTGATCACTTACTGTAAGTAATAAAAACTGCTGCTTCCAATAAATCATCGAAGCTTTTGGCTCTTTGAAGGTGTTTATGCCATGTCTCAAAGATACACTCCTAAATGTTTTATTCCTATCCATCAGCTCCCAGAGTGGTGAAATTCGTTACGAGTCTCAACAGCGTGGTCTCTGAGGAAGGAAAAGAGGCTGTGTTCAAGTGCACCGTCTCTCCCAGTGATGCCGTGGTCACTTGGCTCAGGAATGGTGTCAAGATTGAAGCCAGCAAGAAGTACGTGATCTCCCAGAAGGACACCAACCACAGCCTCACCATCACTGATCTGACGCTGGAAGATGCAGCTGAAATCTCCGCCCATGCTGAGGGCGTAGAAAGCACAGCCAATCTCAGAGTCCGAGGTAGGAGGCGACAATGTCTCTTTGACAGGCTGTCACTGATGCTATCACCTATGTCGTTTTATGTGGCCTTCCCTCTGACCGATTACGTTAGCAGTAGGGAAATTCCGCTTTCACATCAGTAAATACAGATGCCCAGAATGCATTGGGACTGGAGATACATGAGCCACCATTTTAATTCACTCTGAAAGCCTGTTTTCTGAATCTTCTACATTCTTACTAATATTTCTTCTCCTTTGGCAGAGGCCTCAATCTCATTCAAGAAGAAACTGGAGCCCAGAACAGCTGAAGAGAGGGACACAGTGACCTTGGAGGTAGAGCTGACCAAGCCTGCAGAGGTGAAGTGGATGAGGAACAGCGTCGTATTGAAGCCCAGTGAAAAAATAGAGATCAAAGCTGAGGGAACAAAGCACACCTTGGTCGTTAAGGACATCTCCTTTGCAGACAGGGGCTTCTACTGCTGTGAGAGTCCTGATGACAAGACCCAAGCCAAGATCAATGTGGAAAGTAAGTTCAATGATCTCCAGTTCTATAAATACCCTGGACAGGGTTTGGAGGTTGATTCTGGTCTCTTCCATTATCATAATGGCTGCTGCCACCCCCACTTGCCATGGGGATGCAGGGACGCAACCATGGGCTTGGCCGCCAGTCAAGTGACCGATAGGAGGTGGAAGCAAGGGCAGTAAACAGAGAACAGCTGGCTGATTCTTGTTGTCTCCATCTCATCCCACCAGCTTTCAGTCATGCTGTTGACTGTTAAGCTCCTTGGCTGATTCTTCTCCTTCCTCTGAAATTTCTTACTCTCTGGTACACTCTGTTTTTTCCTTTGTATGGCTTTTAGCAAACCATTCCCTCTTCAGCCATCCATTGCCCTAATTCTTCTCTGCAAACCACCTCTTTCAGAATGTCTCTTTATATTCAGTCAGGATTAAAAATACTACAAAAGCAAATCTTCTCTCTGAGGGTGCTGTCCTTTCAAGTAAGCTAATGGTGTCTCAGCTGTAGCCCTGTACTTCTGTCCTTTTTCCTACATTCTTTTGTCATGATTGTTACAGGATAGATGAAGACAGGATTTAAGCACTTAAGGACTATCTAATTTTGTCTGCAAAGCCCCTGCCACCAGTTGGTGCTGTGTAGGTCATAAATAATAGGTAAGGGAGGACTTGATAACAGACTTCAAGTACATAAAAGGCTGTTATTAAGTGGAAGGGAACAATCTGTTCTCCATGTGGAAATAACGACAGGAAATAATGGACTTCAATTGCAATGAGAAAGATCCAGGTTATACAATAAAAAAAGCTTTTTAATGGCTGGATGACTGAATAGGTTGTCTGGAGAGGTTTTGGAGCCTCCATCACGGGTTTAAGAAAAGGTTAGTGAAATATCTGTCTGGGATGATGTAAAGAGCTGAGTGTGTCCTAGAGCGGGAGAGAAGGGCTAGATGACCTTTCTAGGTCTTTCCAGCCTTATAATATTGTGGTCTTCTGCTGGTATCAAAGATATAAAAAAATTGATGACAGACTGTCTCATACAGAGCAGGGTTTGTCAAATCACTTTCATGCACTGCTAAGATAGCTTCGTCTTCAAAATCTTCCTGGCTGACAGTTGTCAAAACTCCACTGCTTTAGCATGCTGATATGGGGCAGTTAGTTATCACTTCTGTTGGCAGTTGCTCATCTTTTTTCCAAACTGAATAGCTCTAGAAAAAAACCAGACAGTGCCAGTGACTAGCAGCTGGTAGATTAGGCTTGGATTCATGCAGCCTAAATCTAGCACATCACTTTCAGTTCCTTCTGTAGTCAACAGAGGGGAAAAAAAGACCTCCAGAGCGTGTTTTAAGTCTTAGATGCACTGAATTACCTTCTGGAGTGTCTTTCTGACTATTCAAGGAACCATGGGTGACTATGATCCTGATTTAGAATTAGATTCAGGTTTACTGTCTCAGTTAAATGGATTCCACAGAAGATAAAGAAATACAGCACTTCCATGGTCACAGTGTGTTGGAAGAATGCAGTGCAGATGCTGCTTCATCCTTTTTCACACACTGCATCCCAAGATGTTTTTTTTCAGACTCTGGGTGATACTCAGTTTCCTTGAAGCAAGATGTTTCAGCCAGTTGGTTGTAGATTCAGTTATACCTGGTTTTTAGACACTGGCTGTTGCTGTGGCCAAGTAGTAAAAACAAAAATGATGGAACAGTGTTTATATAGGAAGTAATTGGGTAGTCCTGATAGCTGCCAACAGTGTTTTGTGCAAGGTGAGTCATGCAAGCATAAATGTATATCTGTCTCTGGTTTATAAACCTCCTATTCTGATGGAGAGAGGATTTGGGGTTGTGCTTCCCAGGCACCCAGCTGCATTCTCATCACTTACGCTTAGTGTCACTGTAAAAAGTAGCTCCTCTGTTGAGGAACTGAGATAGTTTCATGCAGTGATGGAAACGCAAGGTGATCTGAGAGTGACCGTGATCAAAAAGGGGAATCGGCTCACTGTAGCAGGAAATTCTTTTCACATATGAAATCTCACTAGACTATATGTATTCTGCATCCAAGTCCTCCGGCTGAGACAGCACCAAGGTCTCGCGCTGCTTTACAGCAAAAGCAAGACTCTAAAAGTAGAAGTCTAAAATTATGCTCCATTTTTTGGCATTTAAGCAAATGGCCTCTTTTCAGTAGAATGTGTTAGAGCTTACACTGAGGTCAGCAGAAGTTCTTTAAATGCTCACAGTCTGGGGAATTGAGCTACTACTATTTGGTGCTCAGCTTTAGGTTAAGAAGCCTGATTTTTAGAGGACCTTTATTTAAAAACCACCAAGCTGGACTGATACTCTTTGGTTTGAGATTGCTTTCAGAGCAAGGTAAATAAGGAATAGCTATATGAAAATCTGTTGATTTACTCTAGTATAAAAGTTGCTCCATGAAAAGATAAGCACCTGTTCTGATCTTAAGATGCCAGGAGATCCTAAAAACAACTGAGCTACTCAAACCAATAACATATCTGGCTGAATATCTGTTTTCGGTTGTGACCAGGAGGAGATGTTTGTGGAAGACTTAAATAAGTAAGTCATAGGTGAAGTGATCCTTCCTCTGAAACACCTCTAAGCTTTCAGCAGGGAAAAGCGTAATTAGGTCAATTAATTATAGCAGAAATTATACTGGGAACATGAGTATGAAATGTTAAATCTCTTGACGCAAAATATTGTCTATTAAAATAAATCCTGTAAAAGTTTTCCTTTCCCAAACTCTTGCTGCTTTATGACAAGACCTTTGAAAAAGTGATTTTATTTTTCTGTCCTACATACAGCACCAGGTGAGGATATATCCAGGAGGCCACTTACTGAGTCAGAAATTGCTATGCTATGTAGTTAATGTTTTTGCAAGTCCCTTTCGCTATCTCCTTGGAATAACTTCAGTTTGCTCCTTGGTCCAGTCACTGTTTGAGGAGCTGGAGTATCTATTGACCTAGGGGAAAGGTTAGATAGTAGCAGGTACACAGTGTTCAGTTTAGAGAATGAGGTACCCCTGGGGGGGATAGGGACCAGCTGCAAAATCAGATCAGAAATTGGGGACTGATGCAACTTCTAGTGAGCAAAGCCAGGAGAGCCGGTGTCTTAGTTTGGGAAGCAAAGCACAGCTCCTGGAAGGTCTGTACTTCCCTCATTTGTCTGGTTCAAGACACATCCTTGGGGCAAATTTGTGTTTAAGTGGTCATGGCCTTGGAGAAGACCATGAGAGAGGAATCGGTGTGGCTTCCTTGAGCGAGGGGTTAGACAGGATCCTACATAGGATGCATACGCTCCTCTGTAAACCTGATGTGAGGTGTAACAGCAACAGAGGGGACAGGAAAGGCGTAAGGAGCTGGCATTACGTGGAGTCCACCATCGCCCTCCTGGGGAGAACAGTACTGTGCTTCTACCCAGTTTGTTAATAAAGTCATAGTCTACTCACATCACCTCCGTGGGACCTTTGGAGAAATAGTTTCTTCCCTGTTGTCCCCCATGCGGCATAGGGGTAGGTGCTGTCAGGAGATGTTTGAGCCTGAGAGGCTATGGTGTCCTCAGCCCAGGAGCTGGGTCCAGACCATGACCACAGAACAGAGCCCACAGCCCACTCCTGGTCACATTCGCATTCAGGTCCTGGCTGAATGTGGATTATCTCTGCTAAACATGAACTAGGAAGGTCGAAATATTCCCAGAGGACCCATAGGGAGTTGAAGGTTTTTGTGAATAATTCATGGCTTTGTAGAGGGGTTTGTTGTTGTTGTTGTTGTTGTTGTTTTTTTTTAATTGGCAACTTAATTTCTTTTAAGGGTGAGTCAAGTTTAAACACTAAGTTCATTTTACTGGCTGATAGGGCACTGATGTCACTGATGTCTCGTAGTGGGAACAGGTAATATCCACCTAAAATACGGATGCTTTGTCCCCCGAGCTATGAGGTGTCAGTGCACTTCACACTGCGTTGTGGACTTTTTTTTTCCTTTTACTTAAAGCTTTTTCATCTCCCTGCTACTTCCTTCCCTCCCTTGTTTTACCCTAGTTGAAAAGCTGAACAATATTGTTTATTCCTTTATGCTCTATTAATCTCTATTGATCATCTTCTTTCTCTTGGATCATGCCTGAAGAATAAGTATTTTCAGCAACATTTCTCTTGCTGCACAGCACAGGGAGCCTGGTCCCAGTGTAAATACCAACAGCGTTATCTTCCGCTAGAGTGTTTCTTCCTGATGGTTATTGGTGACCACCTCACCCAGCACAGGAATGCCTCTACTCCTCTGTGTGTGTGTACAACTTCAAAGCTTATTTCTGGCATAGACAGTGAATGTGATGGATCTTGCTAGAAAAAGGGCCAGTTTGCCCTTTTTCTGCAATGTTTGGCTGACTTGTTTGTCTCAGCTGAAAGCATCCATTTTAAGAATAGCAGCCATGCCAGCAGTATGGTCATGAACAGGTTTTATTTCCTGCAAAGGTGGCTGTTTAATTGGCAGATACCAATTAATTGGCAGGTTCCTGCATGAGGAATAAGGAAATAATCTATCTTGGAAGTCCTCAGGCTGTTTTACAGCTGTCGGTGTGAGATCTCCAACTTGTCCTTGTTGTTTTTTCAGTGAGGCAGATCAAGCTGGTGAAAGGTCTTCAGCCCCTTGAAGTCTCTGAGAAAGGGACCGTCACCTTCGAGGTGGAGGTGTCGCATGAGGACGTGGAAGGGACCTGGCAGAAGGATGGCGTTCGGCTGAAGCCTTCACCAAACATCAGTATTGGCGTCCTGGGGAAGAAACATTCACTGACTCTTTCTTCGGTGACTCTTGAAGATGCAGGACTCATCTCCTTCAAAGCAGATGGCATTCATTCGTCAGGGAGGCTCACTGTGACAGGTACACAGACCTGAAAGTCTCAGGCCCTGGTTGGTGTGGGACATGGTTGTCTTCTCCTGACCCAGCAAGCGAGCTTTTAAGAGAGCAACAAGCTTTCTTTGTAACTGCAAGGGATGTTAAGCACTGGATCATCATCAGAAACATATCCTTCTACTGTCAACAGGATTATTGTAACATCATTGTCCACAGAACAACTCATGATAATGTGCTCAAAACAATAGGATTTTGTTGTCACATGGAAGCTAGGCTCTGCCTATTCATGGTGTTGGGTTGACAGTTGGACTCGATGATCTTAGAGGTCTTTTCCAACCTTAATGATTCTATGATTCTATGATTATTGCTTGTGCCAGACGGTCCTGGAGACCGAATTCCCCCCTAACTGGACTTTCTCTTTTTTTGCAGAATTGCCTGTGAGAATCAGCAAACCTTTGGCAGATGTCAGTGTAACTCAGAAGGACAAGGTCACATTCGAGTGTGAGCTGTCCAGGCCCAACGTGGATGTTAAGTGGTTCAAGGTACAGCATTTAACGGACAGTGGTATTTTAATTTCTGACTTCTCTGGAAGGGAATGTGAGCCTTTAGTTTCACTTCCACTGGATGGGAGTCTGAGCCTTTACTATACAGCTCTTAGTATTGCGCTCTCGTCCTTATGTTCATTTACTTGCCCAGTTCATCACTTTCTTATTTATTTACTGGGTGTGTTTATTGGGTTGAAAGTTAAACTTTTCTGTTCTTGCACAGAACGTGAGTACTGCTGTTGATAGCAATGCACTCTTGTGCTTTACTTCGTGCCTAGCAGTTCTCACCCAGGATTTATAGACTCATTGGGAACTGCGATTTAAGGTGAAGCCTCAATTCCCTTTGCACCTGACAGTCATTTTGGGGATCAGCTCAGGCATTTCATGTACCTTCCTTGGGGCTCAGCTGATACTTCCCTTAAATGGGGATAACAGCATTCCTTCAAGGTAATGTCTGAAGGAGCTTATTGCCAACCCTGTACAGTGCCTTAAGCATTCAAATAGGTGTCTAAGGTCAACCAAAAGTTATGCATGTTCTTCAGCCGTTCCTGCTTCTTGAAAACTTTGCACTGTGCTCACGTTTCAACATATGTTCCGGTAAGCACAGTTCCATTAAGTCCAATGAGACAGGTGAATTGAGCACAGATCTGAATGTTTGTTTTGCTCACTGCAGACATAGAAGAGTTGACAGTGATCTGCTTTGGCCTTTTCCCTTCTAGGATGGGAAGGAGCTCCAGCAAAGTAAAAAGGTGGGGATTATTTCCCAGGGAAATAAGAGAAGCCTCATTATTCACAAGTGTGAATATGAAGACCAGGGAACCTATACATGTGAAGCAGCTGAAGACAAGACGTCAGCTACCCTAAAGGTTCATGGTATGTTTGACTGAAGTAGGAAATTACATCTACTGCAGTATTTTTTGCCTACACAGCAAGAAATGCTTCGTGGACAGTTTGTGTATTTTGCAATTACTCATTTTGGGTAACTTTTTCTTCCTAGTGAGAAAGTGCTGGCAGAGCTGTCCTGTGCTTGCTCTATCCTTAGAGGAGTATTTTTGGAAGAGGTGCTAACTTAGTTTTCCATTTATCATAAGTGATTTCTGTTCTCTGGAATTTGAATGGTGTTTCTAAATTGGCAAGTTAGCAAATACCGGGCAGCCTGGCACAAAGAAGGGACTCAATGGCTGGTGTGCACATGGTTTGGTTTAGCTTCTGCCATTGTCACGGGAGGACTTTGGCTGAATAGAGACTGGGCAATCCCTGGGTATGATCTCAAGATGTGCCCTACTTTTTTATGTTGTAAATGCTAAGGAAAGTGTCAGGATTTCTGTCTGCATCTCTCCTTTATGCTCAAGACAGGTTTTCCCTCTGTGTGTTGCACTGTGCAACTGGTCAAGCGCCAGATGTGTTTTGTCACCAGGCTCTGAGGCACCAGAGACAAGCTCGTGCTGAAGGCCAGTTACTGAACGGACAGGCCTGCTGTGCCCTGGCAGATGTTATTTTCCAGAGGGGTATCTGAAAAGACAGATCAGCTCTTTCTTATTGCTTACTAGATGCTGTCCTCATGTGGCCACTTCAGCAATATCTTCGTGAACATCTGTCCTGTTCCATTGCTCTGTTGAACTCCCCCTTTTCTCCCTGACTTTGTGACCGGGATGGGTTGCTATTTGAATGCTGGCTGGTTTGCATCCGAGTTCTGGTCCTGTGGCTGATCCAAGGTGTATTGAGGCCTTCCCTTTCAAAAGGAAAGGGCTGCAGTAGCACAGACATATGGGTCAGTTCTGACATAAGCTAGTGCAAAGCTGCAGAGTTAAAGAGGATTATACTGAGTTCAGGGGACTCTGAAGTAAACGTATCTCCTAGGTAAAACATGTGGCTGAGGTCCCTGTGGCTGATACAGTCCAGACACACAAGCAGGGGAGCAAAAGGAGAGCATGCAGAGAAGCATGTGAATGAGACAGGTTTATAGTGACACAAGAGATTGTAGGCTTGTGTTCAGTTTTCCTTGGCAGATTTTCTTTCATTAATATGTTTAACTTTTAAAACCTGTATAAAGTTCCGGCATCCATAAAATCCTCTTGCAGCGAGCCCCACTGTGGCTGGTGATTCTACCTGTAGGTTCAAGTGTAAAATGTATTTACTGTGCTGAAGAGCAAAACCACCCAGGAAGGGAGGCTGGTCTAGAATAAAACACAATCCATTTTTTCCATGCAAGCATGCAGAAGGTAAACACACCGCACTCAGTTATGGAGAAACCCCAAATAAATATCTGTCTCTCTGATTTCACAGCCCGAGATATCAATATTGTTAAACCACTGGAAGATGTGGAAGTGAATGAATACGAGAGCGCGTCTTTCGTCTGTGAGATTTCACATGATGAGGTCCAAACCCAATGGTACAAAAATGACAACAAGCTGAAGGCTGCCGACAATATTAGAATGCGTCAAGATGGTAGGATGAAAAAGGGGGATCTCATTCTTGAATGAGGGTGGGTTGGAGTAGGTGCTGGTATGGGAGACTAGGCAGAAGGGTCTGACCTTCAAAATGAAGTTAAGAAGATTTAGCAGAGAGTTCCCCTTTTGTTTTGGGGCTGCAGCTAGGCTGGGACAGTGACGTGATGGGAACTTTTAGTAAGGCAAATTTGGTGTCATCCCACCATCCCACGCTGCCAACAGCGGGTAGGAATTTGTATCATCTGAGAGTGGGTGGGATCCTTCTGATTCGAGTACTTTCCAGATGGTGGGGACCACATTCAATCAGTCCTTGGAGGAGCTGAGGTTAGGTTAGCCTTTGATACAGAGACATAGACGTAGGGGAATGGTCGGCCTGGCTGCCGTGGGAGCAGGTGGTGATGCACTGAAACCAGATGAGCGATGCTCAACCTGGCAGTGTGCCTTGGAGAGTGAAGCTGTTTGCTCAGGGGAAGCTATGTCTGGTTGTGTGTCTGTTCTCAGGAAAGACCTATTCGCTGACTTACACGCGCGTCCAAGTTGAAGATGCAGCAGAGATCAAATTTGTAGCAGAAAAGGCAGAATCTCGTGCCCAGCTTACTGTAAAAGGTAATTATGCTTTTCATGCCAATACTGCTTAAGCTCTTTCATGTTACAAACCAACCAACTTCCCTCGCTTTTAATGTGAAGAAGGTTAAACAACACCTAAAGCTTTCAGGGAAAGAAAAACTCCTGCCTACCTTACTGTATGTGAAATATCAGTCTGGGAATTAACTTTTGCTAAAGAACACAGTTTATTTTCTCAGGAGGTTGGTTTTGCACCCTAAGACATCAAAAGTCGTGTTTGAACTTTGAGGGACAAAAAGCTGTAGCTTGACTTTCTCCTGCATTTTCTCTTTCTGGTGTATGTTTAAAAAGAATACAGCATTTTTTTGTGTTTAACTTAAACAGTGTGACAGAGACAGAGAGAAGGAGGACATTTGAATTAACACACTGATGAGGAGTTCGTGAAATTTGAGATCAGTCCCTGGCTTTGCCATAGCACTGCTGCGTAGTGTCGAGTTAATTACCTATTATCGCTGCAGTTCAGCCATCCAAGTGGTAAAATAGGGATAAAAAGTTTTCCTCTCATTAGCTTTTCACTTGCTGTGTGCTAGTTGAATGCTTAGCATAGTGGGGATTCCTGTCATCGTCCAAATAACGGAACATAAAAGAAATATTGCTAATGAGTTTTTTAATTGGCACTTTTCACGGGTGTCGAGTTAATTACCTATTATCGCTGCAGTTCAGCCATCCAAGTGGTAAAATAGGGATAAAAAGTTTTCCTCTCATTAGCTTTTCACTTGCTGTGTGCTAGTTGAATGCTTAGCATAGTGGGGATTCCTGTCATCGTCCAAATAACGGAACATAAAAGAAATATTGCTAATGAGTTTTTTAATTGGCACTTTTCACGGAAACTGATTATTCCATCTTTTTTTTTACTCCTTTTAGAGCTGCCTGTAAAAATCGTGAAGCCTTGCGAGATATTAATTGGCACTTTTCACGGAAACTGTACTGATTATTCCATCTTTTTTTTTACTCCTTTTAGAGCTGCCTGTAAAAATTGTGAAGCCTTTGCGAGATAAGATTGCTCTTGAAAAACACCGGGGATTCCTGGAGTGCCAGGTGTCTCGTGGCAGTGCCAAAGTTAAATGGTATAAAAAGGACGTTGAAATTCACCCTAGTGACAAATACGAAATTGTGAGCGAAGGTGTTTATCGGAAACTCATCATCAACGATGCAGATTATGAAGATGAGGACACGTACACTTGTGATGCCTTTGATGACAAAAGCAGCGCTAATTTCTTTGTTGAAGGTAGTAAACCATTTTTTCCCCTCTAGGATGCATTGGAAGGAGGACTGGCTGATTCAAAAAGCCCTGGTTATTTACTTTGAAAACAAAATACCACTTAAAAAGTATTTTAATTCAGTGTGGATTTACTCTGAAGTCCATTGATATTGAATCCTTTTAGGATTATAAATGCAGAAACATCCTGTAAAATAAATATATGGTATATTCTCCTAAGGAAAGTGATGAAATTCCTGTTCCAGAGAAGTTTATCAGATATGCCGGAGAAAGTTTGTTGTTCGGAGAAAAGCTGCTATAGCTAACCAAAGTCTTTCCCATTATCAACATCTGCATTTCAGTGAACCTTCTTTTCCATTTTATAGTGCCAAGTATTTGATATCAGGATAGGAAGGTGGCTTTAGAAATAAGACTGGGAATCAGGAGATCTGGATTCTCTTGAGGCTGTGTCACAGTCTCACTGTCTGACCTGTGACCAGCAATATATGTTTATTTTTATAGGGAAAAAAAAAAAAAAGGATGTTTTAAGGCCTTTTGAGCCAATAAGTGCAGTATTCAAATGCAGAAAAGATGGCATGAGTGTGCAGGATGCTAATGAAAGAGTTCTTTCGTGACTCCTAAATCCCTGCTTTCTCATTCCATCCTTCATCCAGAGCAATCCATTAATATCGTAAAGGAGTTGTGTGATGAGGATGTGACTGAGCCTGAAGAAGCCAAGTTTGAATGCGAGATATCCATTCCATCCGTGAAACCCCCCAAATGGTCTCTACGCGGAGAAGTCTTACAGGCTGGCAGAAACATTATCATGCAGCAAGAAGGCACGATCCACCGTCTGACAATACTGAAAACCAGTGCTGATATGACAGGCACCATTCAGTTCTCCATTGGCAAATCAAAATCTACAGCAAACCTGCTTGTCAGAGGTAATGTGGTTATGTCTTGAATTAGACCATGAGAGATTGTCCCTCTTACAGTCCCTGGAAAGTAATTTTTCATATGTACTGTCTAATGTGCAGGCTCCACTGGCTGGGGTCTTGGAAATTTATGGAAGATCTGCTTAGTTCCAAATTACAAGTTGTTGGGAGCAATGTTGGATGCATGAAATGAGACAGCAATGTCTTAGGAAGGGATCTGATTAAATGAGTTTGGTGTGCCTGGTATTCAAACCTGGTATTCAAATCTATTGAGCTAAGACTGTTTTTTTTGTTTGGTTGGGTTTTTTTCTTCTTCTTGACTTTACCAAAGAGGACAAAACAGATGCAATTTGCCAGGAGAGTTTATTTTGTCCCATTTCTGAACTAGTCAAGTTTGATAGCTCATTTACTTAATCTACTTTGTCATTGACTTGATCTGGGACAAAGCTTCAAGGCTTTTTATCTTCTGCTGTCATCATTGTAAATATCTCCAATCGTATCCTGAAGTCCTTGTTTTGTCTTTAATTTGTTCTTACTTGACTAAAAACCTTAATTAGAGAGCAATTCAGTAAGCACTGGACCATGCATTTGGTAGTTAATGTGCAGTATTATCTTACAGAAACCAGCACTCCCTATAGATCATCATGTTGTTTTAGCTTCAAAGCACATCAGCTCTGTAACAGAAACTTGTAGCACCATCTGAGCAGTTCATGTATGCCGTTCACAACTGTTTTGTGAAATTAATTGACATGAAATACAGGTTAGAAACTTTCCTCTTCTTCAGATTGATCCTTTCTTCTTTGCCAACCCTGCTTTGCAGATTACCACATACAGATCACCAGGAAGATGGAGGACAAGACAGCTCTGGAGCGCCATTCAGTCATCCTGTCCTGCGACTTCAGGCCTTCTCCAAAGGTTGTGAAGTGGTTCAAAGGCCACACACCCATCGAGCCCTCTGAGAAGTACAAAATCAAGAGGGAGCAGCATTCGGCAGAGCTCAAGATTTTGAAGGTGAAGCCCGAAGATGCTGGCGTGTACAAGTGCAGGGCTGGAAATGCCGAGACCGAAGCCACGCTGACTGTTGAAGGTATGAGCGGTTTGCAGCAGGGATGCTTGCCTGTTGCATAGATATAAGGAAGAAATTTTTTACGCTGAGGGTGGTGAGACACTGGCA